AAAAAAAAAAAAAAACAGTGAAGCAGGTCATCCCTACCTTTCCAGACCCCTGACACCATCACGCCCCTCCAACCGCCACCTCCATCACTGGTACAGAAAGCAAGATAATTAAATGCACACGATAACTCCGGTGCTTCTAAGTCTATTAAAAAATCACATATCAGTGACTCATGGATTGAGCCAACTAACCCAAGCCACAGCTCTAAGTGGACAACTAGAACTTAAAAAATGTACATTGGAGATTTTAAAAAGAAGTTTATCTCTATGAAATCCTGGAGATGTATCTAATTATTATAATTGCAGATCGCTCAAGACTAGAGCCCCTTGTAAATCATCCTGTGTTCTGAGAAATTCTGGGACTGTCATCCAATTTTCCAGGAACAGAGCTATACGCTGCCAAGTCCTGCTGTTGGGTTTTCATAAGAGTAACAAAGTGCCTTCAAACGCCTCTGAGAAGCCCTGAACGTCTCGAGACCTCAAAGGTTGATGGTACGTCCCAGGGAATGCCCACCCTTCCTTCAAAGCCTCCCAGCTTCTTGGCTCCAGGGAAAGCAGTCAGGGGCAACGGTGGCAGCAAAGACGAACCCCTAACCAGTTCAGAAAGTAAGACAATGACTTGAGGCTGCACTTGGCTACTTCGGCATGTAGCAGGGCAGGCCGTGAAAACCAGGACAGCCGCCATGTGGCCGCCCTTCCCTGTACCGTTGTCTGGCCCCATAAAGCCTATCTCGTACCCTGCCGACAATGACACTACTGAAAGGACTTTCACAGTGACTCCCCTCAGGGAGGCTGTCCTCTAAGCTAACCATCCCCACTCTCTTGGGACAGAGGGGGTGACGGGCCAGGCAGCAGGCATGGCTCAGGGGTGCTGCCTGCAACCAGGCAACTAGCCACAGCTAACCGGCCAGGTGAGAACTGGACTCCTGATCCATGGACAATGCACAGGGCGCTCATCAGCAGGGTAAGGCATGCATAGCCTCTTCAAGGATGAGAAAGCAATTATGCATGAGACAGACGGGATGCCTTTTCTAGAACTCACACTGCACAGACCTGAAAGTTGCCACCAAAATTCACACTCTGCTAAGGTTTTAATCCTCTTTTCTGGCTTGTAACTGATTTTGGCTTTGTGTCACATTTAATAATGAGAATGAGTGGTATTCCTAATCTTCAGTCCTTCTTCCAAGGTTTGCTTCACTTGTAAAGATGTCTTTTTGCTGCCATAGTGCTGCAGGCAAATTCTCATTGCGATAGCTAAAAAGAGACTGAACAGACTAAGAGAGAAAATTAGTTCAAAGAAGTGCAAAAAACTGACCGAAGGCAGACCATACGGAAGGACTTGCACACTCAGGGCTCCTCCAGCTGAAAGACAGGGGTCCAGGAGAGATGGCCCAAGGATACCCCTCAATGGAAGTATTGACACAGATGAACCAAGATTCGCTCGTCAATTCTAAGGAACCAAGAACACAAATCCCACTATACCGTCAAATAAAAGTTCACAGTTAAGTCTGTGTCAGAAGCTGAAGGGAATTTGCAGATGAAACTTTGCTAATTTTCCCATGAAGAAGGGCTAGAGAAAGTGTAGAAACAGAAATGAACTGGAGCTCCCACAAAACACCCCCAAGGTGCTCAGGGAAGAGAGGAGCCAGTCTGTAGAGAGACTCCATCTCTAACAGGCAGGTTACAACCAGGCCCAGAACCCACCTGTTCAGAAACCACCCTCTCTTCCTTCCGACTCCTTCCCCTTGTAAGTTCATGTCTTCAGCTGAACATTCAACATCACTCCAACCTGCCACTGGAGAGTGAGGACCGGGGAGCTGAACACACAGCACCCGCATCTTTCCCAACACCGAGTCCAGCTGTCAACAGTCGACACCGTCATTGAGCTTTTAGAAAAGGGTGCTGCAGTCAAAAGGGAATGCAATGACACAATCTTCCAAGCAAAGCAAGGAAAACCGAGGCAGAAAGGGCGAGGTCTCCTGTACTGTGGAACAAGTCACCGGCCCTGCCCCAGCATGTGCCAGTGACCCGTGAGTGGCGGAGATGTCCGTGGCTGCTGACTACATTGTGCCCTAGCCCTCAACCAGCACCATCGTGCCAGGATCAGACGCACATGCTCACCCATACCTGGTAGTACGGATGGTACAAAAAGGAATCTGGGCAGCCAGCTAAAGCCATGGGTTCCTTCTGGCTTCTTCAAATTACATTTACTGCACTGCAGCACCTGGAATAAAGACAGACCGTGAGAAGCCACGCCAAAGAAAAAGTCTACTCCTTACTGCTGTTTCAAGGTGCTGTGCCTACTTGGGCAGCTTGGGACATGACCTGTGAGTTCGGTCAGAATGCCTGGTCAGGGCACTGGCTTTCCACCAGCATGAGAAGATGGGAAGAAATCTCAAGAGGTCACCTGTGAGGGCAGCGGTCTGTGAGGCAGAAGGGCACCCTGAGGAGGGGGACACGAGACCCTCTAAACTGAACATATGCATTCCCGGCATTTTCCCTGAATTGCCTGACCCTTTTTTCCCTAGAACAGCTATTATTACCCTGAAGACCTCACCATACTTTGGGAATAATTATGGATTTAGACAGAAACCCTGAAGGGGATCGTGTGTATACCTGGGGCCAGGGCTATGGACTATCACTTGTGTGAATGCTGGCTCTACTGGTCATAGCCAAGAACAAACCACAGATGTCTCAGCAGACATGGAACCTGACGTATGGATTCAACATTCTCCCCTGTGGGCTAAATCACCTGGTACTATATAAAATTAGGAATATTCATGCTACCGATCAAAATAGCAAATGAAATCAAAACAAGACCCTGTTATGAGATAAACTCCTCAAAACTTATAAGTTGCAGCCCTAACCCCTAGCACCTCAGAATGCGACTGTATTTGGAGAGAGAGTCTTCAAACAAGTAATTATGTTAAAATGAGATCACAAGGGTGGGTCCTGATCTGATATAACTAGTATCCTTATAAGAAGAGGAGAGTAGGATGCAGAGGAAAGAACGTGTGAGAACATAGCAAAAAGACAGTCATCTACCAGTCGAGGAAAGAGGCCTCAGGAGAAGTCAAACCTATCAATATCTGGATCTTGGATTTGCAGTCTTCAGAACTGTGAGACTACATTGCTGTTGTCCAAGACTCCCCGTCTGTGGCCCTTTGTTATGACAGCCCTAGCAGACGAATATAGTCCCAAGACATAAAACACCACAGTGTTCTCCCCATGGCTAAAAGGAATAGAGGCATCCTCATCTTCTACTGCGTTACCGCCAACCATGTTTTCTGCAAGCACTTCTCTACTGTACCTCAAATCACCAATACAGGAATAAAAGAAAGGTCCCAGAGTATTCTGCTGAGCTGAAAGAAACAGAAGATACTAACACGATGGTAGGGCTGCATCCATGGCCTGACTCCTTGTCCCTAACCTACGGGACAGGGGCTGTGGCCAGCACTTACCCTCAGGCTTCTGCCATGACCAGCAGCCCCAAGATTTCTGGACTTCTCTGGCTCACAGCCAGCCTTCTCCTTGAGGTGGTTGACTTTACTTGTCAACTGTACAGGCTCTAACACTCACTCTACAGAACACCGGTTAAGTTAATAGCTCTGGATGTTGCTGTGAGGGTGTTCTGCAGATATAGTTCAAGTCTATAATCACTTGACTTTGAAGTAAAGGAGATGACTCTTAACAGGCATTATCCTATCCACGGAAGGCCTGAAGAGCAAAAACTGAGATTTCCTGGAGGAAAAGGAATTCATTCAACAACTGCAGCAAACTCCTGCCTGAGTGTCCAGTTGTCTGCCTGCCCTTCAGTTTTCAGACTTGCCAGATCCTTAAAATACATCTCGATACACACAGGTTCGGTATCACTGGCCGACACATCACCTCCAGCCCTGGGGGTGGACTGTGGCCCAAATCACTTGCCACGAGATCCCAGGACCACAACTTCTGTGGGAGCCAGGCAGCCTCTTCCTCGTGCACATCCACAAACCCATGGTCATAGGGGTCTCATCCCTCTGAACTCAATCCCAGCACCTGCCCTCCCAGCCGTCTTCTCATGTCCTAGACACTCCTGCCACCTCTACCCTGGCTACAGGGACTTGTTTTTCTGCCACCATCCACCAGGCTGCCCCACGCCCCATGCCTCTCCACTGGTGTCATGTCCCAGGCTCTGCTGGCTCATTTCATGCATACTTGTTGGCCCCAACTTGCACAATCTCTGGAATGCTTGAATATGGTTAACATACAGAAATGCATTGCTATGTTCCCCCTGAAGTTTTAAGCTTAATGTGTACTATGTGTACTAAAATAGTAAAAAAAAAATCACTGAAAGATGCCAATTTTATTACCTAAATATTACTTTTGAAAGTATCTGCCAAATGAGATTGCCTCTCAGTCAGGAAAATATGCATACCATAAGCCCAGTGGAGAAGTTTCCCTTGAAACAAGTAAACTACAGTTAGATACAGTCAGAGGGTTGGACTACTTCTGGTCTCTAATAAAATGTCTGAAACCCACAGTAAACATCCTACTCAGAAAGGAAAAGCTTTCAACCTACGATCAGGAACAAGACAACAATGCCTACTTTGCCATCTCTATTCATCACAGCATTGGAAGTTCTAGCCAGAGTATTCAGAAAAGAAAAAGAAGAAAAGGCATTCAAATTGGAAAGGAAGAACTAAAATAATCTCACGATGATATAATATTATATGTAGAAACCCTAAAGATCTCTTGCTAAAAAATCTATTAGAGCTAATAAGTAAGTTCAGCAAAGATACAGGTTACAAAGTCAACAGACAAAAATCAGTTAATCTCACAAATAAAGAGCAATCCAGTGAACAATTAAGAAAACAACTCCATTTACAACAGCACCAAGAATAATAAAATATTTAGAAATAAATTTAACCAAGGAGATGAAAGACATATGCACTGAGAACAAGAACACGTTGCTGAAAGAATATAACAAAGACAAAAATATATGGAAGGATAAATCATTATCATAAATTAGAGGACTTAATACTGTTACGATGAAATACTATCTAAAACAACCTGCAAATGCTATGTAATCTGACGTTTCTTCCAGAAATAGAAAATGCCATCCTAAAATTCATATGGATTTTCTCAAGGGACCTTGAACAGTCAAAACAATCTTGCAAGAGAACAATAAAGTTGAGGAACACACAATGCCTGAATCAAAACTTGCTATAAAACTACAGTAATTAGAGCAGTATGGCACTGACACACGGACAAAGACCAATGAAATAAAGCAAAGAACCAAGAAATAAACTCTCACAAATATCGTTAACTGATTTCAGCAAGAGAGTCATGGTCATTCACTGGGGAAGGGTAATCTTTTCAATAAATAGTCTGGGAAAATTGGATATCAGCATGCAAAAAAATGAAGGCGAGCCCCAACCTCATACCATAAAAAAAAAAAAAATTAACTCAAAATGGATAAAAGACCTAAAGGTAAGGTCCAAAATGACAAAATTCTTAGAAGAAAAATTTCCATGACATCGAATATGACAATTATTTATTGGATATGAAACCAAAGGCACAGGCAATAAAAGAAAAAAATAGACAAATTGGACATTACCAACATTAAAAACCTTTGTGCATCAAAAGACACTATCAGTAGACTAGAAAGACCACACATAGAATGAGAAAAAAAATAAGCAAATCATTTATCTGATAAGGGATTAAAATGTACTAAATATAAAGAACTCCTACAACTCAACAACCAAAATACAAACAACCCAATTAAACAAGGGACAAAGGACTTGAATAGACATTTCTCCAAAAAAGATATACAACAGGCCAATAAGCACATGAAAAGATTCCCAACACCACAGGCCATTAAGGTGGCTAATATAAAAAAATGAACAAATAAATAACAAATGTCGGTGAGGATGTGAAAAAATCAGAAGTCTTGCGCATTATTGGTGGGAATATAAAACAGTGCAGCTGCTACTGAAAATGACATGGCAATTTCTCAAAAAAAAGAAACACAGAATTAAACTATGAGCCAGCAATTCCACTTCTAAGCATTTAACTCAAAGTAATCAAAAGCAGGACTCAGATACTTGTACACCCATGTTCATAGCAGCATTATTCACAACAGCCGAAAGGTGTAAGCAACCCAAGTACCTATCAACAAATAAATGGATAAACAAAATGTGATCTATACATCCATGGAATGTTATTCAGCCACAAAAAAGAATGAAATTCCAAGACATGCCACAACACGGATAAACCTTTAAGACATTACGATAAGTAAAATAAGCTAGTCACAAAAGAACAAATATCATATGATCCCACTTACATGAGTTACCTATTATAGACAAATTCAGAGAGATAAATAGTAGAATAAAGATCACAAGGGACTCGTGGGAAGAGGAAATTGTTTAATGGGAACAAGGTTTCTCTCTGGGATGATGAAAAGGTTCTGGAAATAACGGTGATAATTACACAACATTGTGAATGTACTTAATTCCACTGGAGTGTATGCTAAAAAATGGTTGAAATGGCAAATGTTTTTATAGCTTCCCTCAATTAAAAAAATTATCAACAAATTGGCTATTCAATGAGCTTCTTTAAGTAAGACTAACAACTTTCACTAAATTTTTCAATACAACCATGACATTCAGAATTTCTTAGGATGCCAAAGCTTGAAGATATATAAAGCAGTAATTCCAAATAGCACTTCTGTATATACAAACTGCTTGCTAAAATAACACCATCACATTTTCTAGTCACGTTTGTTCCAGCATTCAGCACTTGCTTACTGTTTTTCCATTTTGATTTATTTCTCCAACAATGGATTTTTCCAATTCTGCAACTCTATGGAACCCAGGTATCCTTGAGATTAAGTGTAACCTATGTAGCAAGCCCTCCAAAAAATGATCCTGCCATCCAGACTTAACCAAGACCGAATGTTCTGCCACTATTGGTGCTCTCATGAAGACGAAAATCTCTATGCCACACCCAAACTAAAACTTCCCTTTTGAAAGTCCTAGAAGTATAGAGATTCAGTGTTCTACTGTGCTACGGTAGCATGTTAAGGTTCCAAATCATCAGCCAATTTATCAAAACAATGTGCTCCATATTCAAAGACACTGAAAAATAGCTCTGTAAGCCAGTAGCCAGTAGCTTTAGAGCTGCAATAACTAAAGACTTTCTCATGAACAGTCACAGAATGATTAAGAAACTGTGCCAATATCT